TTGAAGAATTAATATTTTCATCTACGCCTTCGCATCACCGTACATTTGGCCGTAAAATAAGTACAATGGATCCCAAATTATTAATGCCATTTCGTTACGGTATGTGTATTTTATTGTTTATATTTTTTAATTTTAGTTTTTAACCATCTCCTCACAATCTCATCCAATTATTTCAATNACGAATATATTTATATTTAGTGCATATTTACAATGTAATACAAAATATTTCAAAAGTGACATATCCTTTTATTTGTTTCAATAAAATGAACACTTTGTGAAAAAAAAAACTGATATTCATATGCAAATTTAATTTTACAGTTTTATATTTGAAGAATTAATATTTTCATCTACGCCTTCGCATCACCTTACATTTGGCTGTAAAATAAGTATAATGGATCCCAAATTATTAATGCCATTTCATTACGGTATGTGTATTTTATTGTTTATATTTTTTAATTTTAGTTTTTAACCATCTCACAATCTCATCCAATTATTTCAATTATCTACTTTTTATTTTTAATTTCCTTTTTGTATTAATACTGATGTAGTATAAGTTGTTGAATTGTGATGAATGTTAAGTCATGTTTAATCATAAATTTAACCACAGGATATACATAAAGGGTGAACAAATAATGTAAGAGCGGGCCTTTCAGGATTTCATGTCTCTGCACTACATTTGCCCAACTCAAACATTGTTTTACACTTATAAGTTGCTATTTTCTAGGCTGGAAAAGAGAGGTGGTGTATAGGTACAATAGCAATGCAATTGATGTATACTACCGTACACCAGATAATAAAAAGCTACGATCAAGACGTGAGGTACTTGAATATTTAAAGCCAAGATCTCGATTGAAAATAGATAATTTTACGTTTGCAAGAAAACCATTAGGCTTAGACAGTTCCAAAGAAATATGTAGACGTGCCTATTCCAGTAAAGTAAGATATGTTATTGAACATTTTATTGAATGTTAATAATTTTTGTTTCTATATATTGTAATGTGTTTTTAGAAAGTTGTAAATAATCATGATAGTGCTGCTATCAATAAAAATAAAAACGAAGATCAAATTATGGAGTCAGATGTCGAGGTAGAAAATCCAAATAATTTACAATCAGTAAGACTTGTTTTTGAACATTTTATTGAATGTTGATAATTTTTGTCTCTATATATTGTAATATGTTTTTAGGAAGTTGTAAATAATCATGATGGTGCTGCTATCGATAAGAATAAAACCGAAGAACAAACTGTGGAGTTAGATATTGAGGAAGATAGTCCAATAAATGTAAAATCCTGTTCTAAAAGTACTGCAGAAACTCCAGAATCAGATGAAAGTAGTTTATTTGAAACAACTATGTTTTATGAGTGTAACGGTCGGCGATTTCAATTTAGAAAGGGATCAGATGAAGAAAACCAAGTTACTATAGCCTTTATAAATGATATAATAATGAAAAATCATAACACTACACGGTTTTATTCAGATAATGAAACTGTCTCAAATGATGGTACTAAAGAAGACCAATAGCCATCACCTGCTAAATTGCTTCATAAACAATTACATTATTTAGATCATTAAAAATATTTAAATTAAGGTTATTAACATTTTATAAGTCTATATTTATAAAGGAAAATTATATATATAATTTTGCTATTATTTTCTATGGTAGTACATTTTCTGAAAGTAAATATGACTGATATGGTACTCTGCGGCTTATTTTCTTAACATCTCCCAACTATTTATTGTATTATTTCAACCTGTGTAATATTCAAAAGTATTATCTTAGTTTTTATTCGAAATATTAATTCCTTTTGTTGTTTTGTTTTTGACAGTGGCTGTATGATAAAAAAAAAACAATTTTGTTTATTTATATTATTGTTATATTACAATAGCATTGTTCCTCAGCAAAACACCAAATTTAAATATTGAAGAATATTATGCAACCTAGGAGGAAACATATTTTGATAAAGTTTTAATTATTAATATTTATAGATTGAACTATACTATTGAAAAATTAAATTATATTTTAAAAAATGAATGTAAAAGTTTCTGATAATGATTTAATTGAAATTAATAGTGATGAAAATAATTTTATGTTTAATAATATCCTTTGTGATAATCTAGGGATTAAGTTTGATAATTTTTAGAAAATTGTAATTTATTTGGCAAGTAAACAATCTAGTATTCCCTTAGAATTACATTGTAATATAGTTAAAAAATCCATATCCAATCACAAAAAAAATATATTTGAAACAAGCTGAACTTAATGGTTACAAATATGTGGATAATTTATGAATTTAAAAAATTATAATTTTAAAGATTCTAATTTTTAAAATTTTTTTTAAAAAAATAAATATTTTCTTTAATAAATATGTCAACAGTTATACTGCTGTAGATTTAAAAATTTTTATGAAACAATTTAAATTTTGTAATTATTTTTAAACAGCCGGATCATAACATTAAAAAAATATGAGAAGATTTTATAAGTGATAATAAATTAAGTTTATTTAATTTACTTTGTAAGAGATGTAGGAAAAAACCATTTGGATTTTTATCAATGAATATAACCAATAATCAGCCCTATAATAAATTAGATCAATTTTTATGTGAACATTAAGAATTGAACGTTTATCGTTAATTAATGAACGTTAATCATGAATTATTGAATGTCAATCGTTAATCATTGAATGTTAATTGTTAATCATTAATCATTAAATATTGAATAACAAATATTGGTTAATGAAAATTTATTGAAAAAATGTATTTTTTTATAATAAATGAGAACACTTAAATAAATTCAAAACAATCTTAAGAAAAAAATTAAAATTGGATTAAACTTAAAAAAAAATGTAATAAAATACAAAAAACAGTACTTTTTGAAGAGAAAAAAAAACTAACAGAAGCAGAGATTAATGAAACAATTAATCTTGAAAAAGAATTACGAAATATATATAGAAATGAAGCAGAGAAAAAACTAAATGAAATAGAAAAACAAAAAACATTTGAACCTACTACCAAGGGATTAAAACATGAAGAAGCTGCCAGAAAAACCGATGATGATTTTAAATCATTTTTAGTTCCTGTGAAACCGCTAACACAAACATCAGATTTTATTACCAAACAACAAAACATGATACGAGATAGAGAATTAGAAACAGAAATTAAAAATTCAATTATTAATAACAAAATAGGAGTTTTTGTAGCTCATTATTTACCCAAATTATCAGATGATAAATTTGGGATTTTTCATAATCATGAAACAAATATGCATATGATAGGTAAAAATGAGATTCATATTAAAGATAACAATATTATTTTATACAAATAAACTTATAAAGGAACACAAGGATTATGTAGATTATTAACGTATATAAAAATATAGATAAAACATCATATTTTGATGATGATATTAAGAATTATGAAAAGATATTAATAGAAACAGAATCGTTGTATCATAATAATAATAAAAATAAAAAAAAGTAAAATCAAGTAAAAGGAATAAATACATGAATCTGATCCGTCTTATTTTGAATAAAATTAGTGAAAATAAAAAATTATAAACTTTACATGAATGATCTAGTTTAATAAATTATACAGAAAACCCAATTCAATATTAATACATTGATAATTTAAGCGAATTGTTAAAAAGATTATATTTTATTGCTGCAGAAGAAGGAGCTGGTAATAATAATTTCCATAATGAAAAATTAAGTATTATAAATTTTGTAAGTAAAGAAATGGAAAAATGAGTTGATACATCCCATGGTATAGAATACAGTAAAACCTCTCTATAACGGAATCGTTTGGGACCAAACATTTTTCCGTTATAGTTTTCCGTCAGAGAGGTAGAAAAAAAAATTAAGTTTCAAGACTGTATGTATGTATGTATGTATGTGTTAAAAAATTATATTTTAGGCAATTATGTACTTCGTACATATGACAGGTAATGAAGAAATGTCCATGCTCTTAAAACACTGAGATTTTTTAGACTTTTCAATTACCAATGGTTTCCTAATTTCTCCAGCCATACTACCACACATGAGCACTGTTAAGCGATACTTTGCTTTTTTTCCTCTAGAACATGACTCACTCTTCAGGACTAGTGACTCGGTTAGAATACCTTTAAAAAAAGGACCGTTTCGTCAGCAATGTACATGTCTTGCTTCATATCCAGCAATGAGTATCGAGATTTTTCGATTCCACTCTTTCACTGTTTCTTGATTAACGTCATTTGACTCACCACTGACTTGTTTTCAAACAATATCATGCCTTTTTTTAAATTTTTTCAACCAACCATTCGAAGCCTTGAAATCTTGGACATTCATTTTTTTCTGCCAATTTCATAGCTTCTGTTTGTAAAATTTGACCAGAAATTGGTACATTTTTGACCGATTGCTGATAAACCACTCATACAACTTTTGATCAATTTGTTCAAATGAAAGAATTTTAAATCTTTTACTCTTTCCCGAGTTTTTGCTATTTACCTATTCATCTATAATGTTTTCTTTATTTTTATTGCGTCGTTAACTTAAGCTTTTCCATGTTTAAATCTATTAATAAGTTCCTTCGTACTTAGTTTTTGTATTTCCTTCAACTCGAATAGTTTAACTTTATTGTACAACGTCAGAGCTGTTCGTGACATAGTAAGTAAAAATGAAAATATTTATGTACAAAACGAAATCACAACGACAATACAGACGGTGAGCACAGCATGTTTACTAAACGATATGAACAATTCAAGCTCATTAGAAGGTATATAATAAACAAACCAATATAACAATCGTGAAGCGATACTGTCAAATGATTTTTCAGGAAAATCTGTAATTTTTCATTAAATAATTTTATTTTTCGTTTAACAGAGAGTATTTTTACTAATTTGATTACGAAAATTGTCAGTTTCCGTTTAATAGAGGTTTCGTCTTAGAGTGGTCAATTTTATATATTATTTTCACTGGGACTATTGACATTTTCTGTTATAAGGAGGATTTCGTTTAATAGAAGGTCCATTATAAGGGGTTTTACTGTATCTCATTTCTTTTATTGCAAATTCATCAAAGAAAGTGATCACTGGATCTGGACTAGTTAATAATTTCTTGAATAGTAAATATATGCTTGAAATTCACTGGCCTGGTTATAATTATCTCGGACCGTTTACAAAATCTAAGAAACCAATAAACAAACTAGATGAAGCTGCGATGGAACATGATTTTTACTATGAAAAACACACAGATACCAAATCTAGACATAAAGCTGGTTTAATTTTAGAAAATATTTCAAAAGATATATACAAAAATCCTGAAATATCTTTAGGTGAAAAAACAGCAGCTTTGCAACTAGTAATACAATGAGAGTAAAAAGAAAATTAGGAATGGGTCTCATTTAAATAAAAATATTAATATTTTGTATAATAAATGAATCTTAATTTAAACGATGCACAATTGAAAAAAATTAAATCTGCACATAATAAAAAAAAAAGGTGTAACAATACAGTTTGCAAACAATCAAATTGGAACAGGAAATCAAAAGTTTAATTTAACCAAAACATAAATAAATAAATTAAACAAATCTAAGAAAGAAAAGAGAAAATCGAAGTTAGAACTGAAATTTGAACAAATTAAACATGGGGGATTTCTTCCACTTCTTTTCGTTGAAATAGAAACTGTAAGTGCATTGGCTGGAGGAATAAGTGCAATTGCAAATACTATTATAGAAGGAAAACATAAGAGAGCAGTGGAAAAAGAACAAGAATGACATAATAAGGAAATGGAAAAAATTGTTAATAATGTTAAAACTTTAAAAATTGGATCTGGAATTTAAAAAAAGGAAAGATATTGCAGTTCTCCTGTGTTAAAAAAATTACTTTGTTAACTAATTTTGATATCATAAAAGTTGGTAAAAAAAAAAAATGTAGAGGATGTTTTATGAGAGAAGAATTACCTACAACAAATGAATGTGGATTAATTAATTTAAATAATTCTGATCAAGAAGGATCGCATTGGGTTGCATGGATAAAACATGAAAGTTTAAAAATTTATTTTGATTCTTATGGTAATGCTAATCCTCCAAAAGAATTACTGAAATATTTAAAAGAAAATAATCTTAAAATAACATCTAGAAGATTTCAAGACTAAAATGATCCACCTATTTATGGATATTTATGTTTAGATTTTATTAAAAATGATAAAAAAAATACCTAAATTAGTATATTTTTTTTTATTCGGGTTTCTAACTAAAAAATTTATCCTAGGTTATAACAATTTCTAGGTGTTGTTTAGAGGTATCAACAGACCATTCTTTAAAAATTTCATTGACTTGTCTATCTAGTACACTTAAATGTACATTAATGTTCTTTATTTTTAATAAATAAAACTTTTAATATTTTTCTAGTACATACTGAATGTTTTCATGGATATATTCACTTAAAACCTTAAAGGTAGAATTAAAATAATGTATTGGATCTTTAAAATAAAATATTTTTTTTGTAAAATCATCAGGTAAACTCTTATCCCAAGGATAAGGATGATAATCTACATACTTTTCTTTATTATTAAAAAAACTATTCATATTCCTTTATTATAAAAACATTTTTATCTTTTCCATAATAAATGGAGAACATTTTTAAAAAATGTGATGATCATATTACACGATCACAATATAAAACATATAAACTAACTTCAGAAACAAATTTTAATTGAATTGGAAGTGTTATAACTTTCGAAATATAAGGTTCTGATAGTTTTCTCAATATTAAACGTACAACATATAATATTAGTGAAAAGTACTTAAAAAAATAACAATACTGACTACGAAGCTAACAGTAATATGTAATTAGATTATAATTTTTTGAGTTTTTATTCTTTCAAATTGAAGTAATATAAAATGGATTTATAATAGATCAAATTAAAAATGTTGGTAGAACAAGTATAACCAAAGAATTTGTTAGTTTTTCTTTAGATCAAAATGGTCCAACAATTAATTCAGGATTTCAATCAAAATTTATAGGTGTAGGTAGATTCAAAGCTTTTGAGAATTTATCTAATCTATGTTAAGGTTTCTTTGAAGATATTCAATATCCAATTTTCAAAAGAGGAATTAAAATACATTTTAAGAGAGCTAAAGATGATGCATTGTATAGCTGGGTTTCTTTCATTGCTGCAGCACCTACTGCTGGAAAAATTATTATTGAGATATTTTAAGATTACAATTTCATCAATGGAATATAAAGAAATGTATAAAATAGAATTAATAAATGAATTATTAAAATAATTCACATAATTTTCTTAAGAAAACAATTACAGGTTAAATTATAAATCTTGGCAATGTATGGATAAAACAAACTTAAGTGGTAAAACATTGAAGAGAAACGTTGTTAGTACATATAGAAATATTAATAATTCTATATTTGCTATTGTATCTTTCCAAACAAACTGATTAGAAACACAATTAAGAAAAGCTTTTGTATTTGATCATTGTAATGTAAAAAATATTTAGTTAGAAATTCATGGACAGAGATATTTACATAAATCATTAAATTTAGAATGGAAAAATGAGAAATGTTCAATTGACTATTATAGGTATATGTCGTATAAGAATACTTTCCATAAGATACATCAAGAACTTCCTCTGCTGTATCTTACACCTAATGAATTTAAAAGAGCAAGACCAATGTATGTATTAATTCTTAAGAGACAACAAGATAATTTTAGTGGAAATAGAAATAATATAATTTTGAACGTAGAATTTAATGAGAATGTACCAAATGGTACAATTTGTTATATTTGTTTAGTTTCAACTTCTGAATTTATATATGATATTATTCATAATACAATTAGAAAAACATCTAAAACTATAAAAATGAATTTATTATGTTAATAAATATAGACAAAGAATTTTTAAAATCAATATACTTTCACAAATGTAAAAAAAAAACTAAACATTTTAAATCAATCAAGGTTCAAACAACAAACACGCTTTGAAGAATTTCAACATAATGTTTAAAATGTAAAACAAATAAAATAAAAATTATTAAAACCATCTAAGAAAAGAAACAGAGAATAAAATAAAATTTGAAAAAATATTAGAACAAGATAAACTAAATATTGCAAAAGGTTCATAAACTAGTAAGATCTCGATTTCTAAAAAGGAACAAAAAAAACCATGGCATTGATGATTTATGAGTTGTTGATTTAGTTATAATGAGAAATTACAACGGCGAAAATTTAGGTCATTTATACATGTTGAATGTTATACTTTTTCAAAATTAGCCTGTTAAACATGTTAAAAAGAAAGATGAAAAAAATGTTACAAAATCATTTGAAGAAATAATAAAAAGAGCTAAACCACAGAAACATAATTCTCCAACATTACTTCACACTGATAAAGGAACAGAGTTTGTAAATAAATAGTTTGAGGAAATGTTAAAGAAATACAATATAAAATTATATTATACATAGAAGAGAAATCTGCAATTATTGAATGGTTCAATAGAACTTTAAATGCTAAAATGAAAATACTGTTTGACGTTCATAAAAATGAAAAATTGATATTTTACAAGCTTTATTGAATGAATATAATTTCAAGGATATTCGTTGAATAATTGGAATACCGTTTAAGGTAAACAAATCTAATGAAGTAAAAGTTTTAATTAAATTATTCTCTAATAAAATATCTAAATCAAAAATTAAATTTTAGGTTTTCGATTAAGTTAGAACAAAGAAGTTGAAGAAAATGTTTAATAATAAATTTAGTTCTAATTGGAGATGAGAAATATTTATTGTTACAGAAATATTGAACACAAATTCAATTACTTATAAAATTAAAGACTTAAATAAAGAAACTATTGAGGGAATTTTCTATAATGAGAAATTGCAAAAAACAAAATGTTGATGCGAGAAAAAAAAAGAAATTGAAATGAAATATTAAAATTTTTTAAAAACAATGTATGAAATGTATACGAAGAAGATAAAGTATATTTTGAAAATATTTTTAAAACCCCGTCTTCGAGATGGGACACATAAAAATTCCAAATAAAAACAATTTGAAAACCATTTATATCAATGAATCAGGTTTATATTCATTTATATAAATAATTTTCTGTAAAAAGAGAAAGTGAAAATTTAAACCCATTTACCGAATGAAAATTGAAATTTGTAATTTGTATATAAGCCTAGAGGTTGTTTTGATAATTTATCTATATTTTACATGAAAAATATTTTAAACAGAATTCGTCTTGTTTAAAATGAATTTGATAAAAAAGAAATCGAAATGAAATATTAAAATTTAAAAAAAAAAAATTATGACATAATAAAATGGAAGAAAATAATAATCTTGTAGCAACTTTAAGAAAGTTGTGCAACATATTTAATATAGCAACTACATATAAAAATTGGTCTAGACATTTAAGATCAGCATGAGATCAGCAAGACATCAAAGAAATGATCCGAATGGGACTATTGAACCTAGATTTCATAAAGAAAACTATACAGAGAATTGTAAATAGAATACCAAAACCTAGAAAAGAGAGAACAGTAAAACATCATAGAGTGTTCTGCAAATTTTCTAAAGATATTATTAAGAAAAAACCAACTAGAATAATTGTTCTTAATAGAAGATATTATAAAGATAGAATTCCTCCACACAAGGTATTTACTAAGATGCATTAGTTTATTAATCATAAGTTATTTGAGAGGGATAGCCCTTAGTTTATTTAAGAGAGATAGACCTTCTGATTTAAAAATTTATATTACTACTGAAAATTGGTTGGCTTTTAAAAGGAGAATATTATCATTTATTGTTGAAAATATGCGTCAATTTAAAGATATCAAATGATTTTTAAATTATTCAAAAAAATTCATTGAGAAAAAAATGTTAGAATATTTAAAAGAGATATATAATTTTAAAATAAGTATTACTGTAAATTGTAAATACATCAAGAAAAATCCATCAGACGAGGAATTACCTACAGGTTTTAAAATAGAAAGTAAACGTTTCCTTCATTCTACTGATTTCAATGTTTTTTATAACATTGTGAAAAAAACAATTCAATCTCGAGAAGATGCATTTATACCCAAAGTTTCTAAATGAATATTCAACAAAGTTATAAATATGTATAAATATAATCCACTTAGAGGAGTATCATATATTAATATACCAGATATCTGGTATATATATATATATATGGATATCTAGAAAAATGCTATTATTAATATTGAAAATAAAGATAATAAATGTTTTCTTTGGTCAATTCTTGCTGTTTTACATTCAATGGGAAAATATACAAAATGAATTAGTAAATATAAAGAATAGGAAAATAAATTTTATGAAGTATTTAAAAGTTTAAAAATTAAATTTTCTGTTAAATTAAAAGATATTCCTAAATTTGAAAAAAGGGTAAATATGTCTATTAATGTGTATACTTATGATCATAAAAATATATTACCCCTACAAATATGTGATATTCAAAAAGAAAGACAAATTACTTATTTTATATTTCAGAAAAAAATAAAGAACATTATTGATTGATTAAAAATTAATCAAAATTAGTTGGTTCATAAAAAACAAATCATGGGACTTCAAAATATTTACGTAACATGTGTTTGTCTCACTTTTATAGTGAAAAAAGTCTAACAGATAATGAAGGCTATTATAAAAATAATAAATGCGCTAAAAAAAATATTATCAAAATATTCTGAACGTATTCTTCAATTTAAAAAATATAATCAATCTTATAAAATTCCTTTCGCTATTTACACAGATTTTTAAAGTATGTTGCTTAAAATTGATACATGTCAACCTTGTGATGGCACTTCTTACACAAAAACTTATCAAAACCATTTGCAGTTTTTGTTTTAATGTTAAATATACTAATAGTAGTAGCAGTAATCTAGTAACATATTCAGGTGAAGATGCAGCAAAAGTTTTTTATAACAAAAAAAAAAAAAAATAGGTTCGTATAATGGAAAAAATTATTTATATGTAAAAAAAACCTGTGATAATAACTAATGAACAAGAAACTGATTATGAAATAGAAAATAACTGTCATATATGCAAAAAATCTTTGAAGAATTTAGCATCAATACTTGAAAAAAGACAGGACTATTTAACGAAATTATGGAATATTGGAAATCCAAAA